TCCCCTCCTCCTCTCCTCCTCTTCCTCCGCCTCCCCTGAGTCGAATCAGTGCTACCTTTCTTTCTTCGCTTGCACCTCATTGGTCATTTGGGCGCCCAGACTGACAGGCAGTCGAGCGACGACCTCCGAGGTCAGCTCGCCCACCTTCCTCGTCTTCTCCTCGTCGTCGTCGTTGTCCTCCTCCCGCATTTGACGGCCGTAATTCGTGACATGTTCGTTGCGTGTTGCCGCCTTTCCAGGTCGTCTCTTCAATTTTGGGGATACGGGCCTATCCTCGGTTTGAGATCCGTCCCCGGCGAAGCTTGTTCTTGCTTGTTCAGCTTGCCTGCCAGAAATCTCCACGTTCGCAAGAACCCTGCTGGGGCATTGTGTGTCGACGGCGCGCTTGGCGAGGCTAGGGGCGTGCATGGTTGCTGTTCGCTCCCATCTCTTCTGCAAAAAAGTACGAGGTTGTATCCGAATCGCCACGGTTCGAGATTCTGGGAACGGGAAGCTGGTCGGCCCCGGGCAGAGCCGGTGTGTTGCATTGTCATTTCGGGGCTCAGGGTGCTGCAAATAAATGCGGCTCCGTCCAGAAATCCCAGGATTGCTCCGTGCTTCGGTGATCCATTGAGACGGTGCCGAATCTACTTTTGCCCCAACTTTTTGCGACATGTTTTGGTGGACAAGATGACACTCGAAAGACACTGACAACCTTTGCTCAATAGACATCGGCTTGGGATGCGAAAGACGCGCCATATCACGCTGAAATGCGCGGGGCCGCCCGTTTCCATGCGGGCGCGCGCCCAGTTCTGTGCAATGTTTTGCGGTTCGACGTCAGTTTGGCGCCAGCTGCGACACCAGAGGGAGGTTCCAGTCAGGTATCTGCGCGGGAGTCGGACATCTTAGGGTCGGATCTCCTGAATCCGCTGGGCCCCGATGGAGCAGAGTGGTAGATGTTCGCTGGGTGGATATTTCTGGGGCCCACCTAATGGATCCGTTCGATTCTTTGATTCTAGTTCGTTTCAAGTTCGACTCGAGTTCGACTCGAGTTCGATGCAATATCGATTCAAGCTCGACTCAAGTCGACGGACGTTCGACGCAGCATCGACGCATGAGTGGAGCGAGTGGTTCCTGGAAGGTCCCCAGAACGAGTACCCACGGGTGGAACCTTGCTGAATCCTCTACCTCCGTGCCCTTCCTCATCCGCCTCCTGACCCTGCGGCTCCTCCTGCTCCTGTCCATGGAGGTGTGACGCTCCTGCGCGGTGAGCTTCGTGGAAAGACGTCTCAGCGGAAGCTTCACTCCCAGTGAGAAGTGCCTCGGAAGGATTGGCGGAGCTTACGGTGTTAATCCCCCCCGCAACATGACAAACACAGAGGATCTGGATGGATAGGGTCACGAAGCAGTGTTCAAGAGAGCGAGAGAGCTGACATGTGAGGGCTGAGAGTTGGGCTGATGACAACTTTGCCATGTCGGCCAAGGTATTTGGGCGTCGAGATGTCTTTCAGTCGCACCATTTACAATTTTCTGCTGGGCGATACTCAATTTGATTGGCTTTCTTTCTTCGGCCTGGCACAGTGGAATGGAATTCGACACCATGGTTTCTGTGACGTGCGTATGCGTGCGTCGATCGCACCAGCATGCCGTTGCTCGCGATAGAACGCGTACGCGCAAAGGTGGGCACATACATGCGCTGAGGTTTAAGGCGGTCGCATGGTAAACATACAGCCAACGCGTTTCATTTGTCGGTGCCCATTTTTACCTAACAGCGAAGACTGATAGGTTTCTAGTTGACTCAAAAGAGCTCACAGATCACTCCACAGGGGGGTCCGGGCAGGCGTTGGGAGTTGCCGGCCGGGCCTGTGCCGGGCTCGTTTTTCACCAACAGTCACACACTTCGTGCTCGTCGACCTCTCAGAACCCCATTCCCAGGCCACATTCTGAATAACCGGATGCAACAGTCACACACTTGGTGCTCCTTGACCTCCCAGAACTCCATTCCCGGGCCACATTTTGAATGCCCGGAGCCAACTGTAGGCCACTTCGTGCTCTTCGAGTCCCAGAACTCCATTCCCGGGCCACATTTTGAATGCCCGGAGCCAACTGTAGGCCACTTCGTGCTCTTCGAGTTCCCAGAACTCCATTCCCGGGCCACATTTTGGATGCCCGGAGCCAACTGTAGGCCACTTCGTGGTCTTCGAGTTCCCAGAACTCCAGTTTTGCCCGGAGCCAACTGTAGGCCACTTCGTGGTCTTCGAGTTCCCAGAACTCCATTCCTGGGCATGATTTTGAATGCCCGGAGCCAACTGTAGGCCACTTCGTGGTCTTCGAGTTCCCAGAACTTAATTCCCGGGCCACATTTTGAATGCTGAGGCAGGCTGAGGCTGAGGCTGAGGCAGGCTGATGCTGAGGCAGGCTGAGGCTGAGGCTGAGGCTGATGCAGGCTGAGGCTGAGGCAGGCTGAGGCTGAGGCCGAGGCTGAAGGCAGACTGAGGCTGAGGCTGAAGCAGGCTGAGGCTGAGGCTGAGGCAGGCTGAGGCTGAGGCAGGCTGAGGCTGAGGCTGAGGCAGGCTGAGGCTGAGGCTGTGTCTGTGACTGCCGTTGCCACTGCGACTGTCATCGCGAATGCGACTACGACTGCGAGAACAGCACAATTCTACAACTGGATTATCATCTGAATCTTAAGGGGAATGCTTCCAGATATGCTCCTACACATCGCTGTTAGGTTGCTTTGCCGGGATAATTCTAAGTATCTCTCTCTATCGTTATACATATGTGTGTATATTTATATCAATGTGTATATATATATACATATATATATATATGTATGTGTCTCCCTCTCTCGTTCTCCTTTTCTCGCTCTCTCTCTCCTCGTTTCCCCCCCCCTCTCTCTATGATATATATATATATATATATATATATATATCGAAGACGCCTACGGCGAATCACCGCCGCCCCCTACCTTTTTGGAAGCGCCTATGTGGCCGACAGCTGGGCTAGAGCTTGGCCTATGTGGCCGACAGCTGTTCCCCGAGTTGGTTTGGAAAGCCTTCGGGGAACATGTGGAGGATGAGGATGGAGGAAGAGGAGGAAGAGGAGGAGGAGGAGCAGGAGGAGGAGACTTCTTGGGAACCGCTTGGGAGGCCTCTTGAGAGGTCTCTTGGGAGGCGTCTGCGGAGCTTCCCAGGAGCTTTTTGGAGGCCTCTTGGGAGCCTCCCTGGGCCTCTTGGGGGCCTTTGGGGGCTCTTTGGCCGTCTTAGGGCGTTCCCGACCGTCTGACGCCGTCGGACGCCGTCTTATGGGGCCTCTCTGAACCGACTTGGGGCCCTCTTCGGGCGCTTCAGGGCCGTCTCGGAGACCACCTTGGGCCTCTTGGAGGCCTCTTGGGCCGTCTTGGGGCCCTTTGGGGGCCGTTTTGGGGGCCTCTTGGGCCGTCACGGGGCCATCTTAGAGGCCTCTTGGGCGATCTTGGGGCGACCTTGGGGGCCTCTTGGGCCGGCTCGGGCCGCCTGAAGGCCGAAATGGCGCAAATGACAAGATCCGTCAAAACCCAAGGGAAACCAATGATTTTGGCCTCTTCGAGCCTTCCTGGAGGACCTGGGGCCGTCTTGGAGGCCTCTTGGGGGCCTCTTGGGCCGCCTTCGGCCATCCTGAGGCTACCTGAAGCCGGCTTGGGTGCATCTTGGGCCGTCTGGAGGGCAGGCGTTCTATCCGACGAGGCGCACAATGCGCGCAAGAAGAGCCAAGGGTTGAGGTTCAGACAGATCGAGGATGACTTGGTCCAGGGACCGTCGGATCCCCCCGGCCCCCGCACGGTGGAGCTGGAAGCCGCTCAGCCGCCAGAGGCTTGGAAGCAACGCCACGGCAAGAAATCTGCGCGCAAGCGCCAGCGCCGACCAGCGTCGCCTGGACAGCCGCTGGCGACGCCCCGAGCGCTGGGACAAGGCCAGGCTGCGCTCCCCATGGCGGACAAACCGGCGCTCGGGGGGGCGGACTACGCGAGGTGGTTCGACGAGCAGCGACGGGAGTTTTTCATGCAGCGCCTGAATGAGGGCGCGCGCGAAGGGCATGGCTTCGGGTGGAGGCAAGGGCAGGCACATCGCAATGCCCAACAGGAATCACCCTGGTTGGAAGGGCGGGACCGAGCTGAGCGCAGGCTAGACGAAGATGGGGCGATCGGCTTCGTGATCGTCCTGGCCAGGGTCCTCGGGCGCACGGCTGGGGCGGTGAAGCAGAAACTCTTCGCCATCAGGTACGCGCGCTTGGTGGTGGGGCACGGCGACCCGCTGCTCCACAGGGCCCGCCTTTGGTCGACCCTGACCGGGCTACAGCGGTGGCAAGGGCCCAGTGGCCGCACGAATCCGGTGACCCCACGGATGCTCCTCTGGCTCAGGGACTTCATCCAGGACAGGGCGGAGCTCAACGCCCCAGACGCGGCGGTGCTGTGGTCGGCGCTCAACCTCGCTTTCTGCATGCTCAGGGCCTCCGGGTAACTGTTTCAGGGTTGGAGCGTCGAGCGCGCGCTGCGCGGCGAGGACATGTGGAGCCGGGGAGCGGACAACAAGAGCGTGGTTTTCTTCAAGAACGCCGTGGAGATCGGAAAGAGCGTGTTCTATCGCTGCTGGCGGAAAACAGGGGGGGCCACTGCCGGTTCGAACGTTCGACCCCCCCCCTCGAAAACCGGGGGGGCACCGGCCCAGGTGCTTCCCCAGCCCCCTCGCCGGTCCATCCACTGACTTCGGGAGACCGTTCCGGCTGTAGTTGAGGACGTGCCCACGGGAACTCCATTTCTTTCTATCTTGAGCGAGGGCCACCATGCGATGCCAGAGGTGGCCGGGCTCCCTCCTGTACTGCGTAGTCTTCTCCGGGTCCCCCTTCGAGGGCTCGCCGCCCCCCTCGGCGCAGCGGCGGCGGCTGTTCCGCACCTGCGGGACCGGGCGCGTCTCCTGGGGGGCCACTCTCTTCAACTATTCGACTGCTCGATCGATGTGGGGGCGCATGCACTCCTGCCCGGCCAGCTATGCCCACCGGCCTGTGAGACTGTCGAGCCTCGACCGAAACGCCACCTCCTCGTACGCAGCCGACCGAGTCATCTCCTTGCAGACGTGGGCCACCTGCTCGGGTTTCGCCTGGTGGTCCGCGTCCGCCAGGAGGTCGCTGGCCTGCTCCAGCGCGTCGTAGTACAGCTCCTCGGGCGATAGGTCGTACTCCTCCGACGCAGGGACCGCTTCCACCGTCGGCAGCGACTCCGTGCTCGTGCTCGGCCTGGTGGATCCAGGGTGCAGCGAGACAGGTGGCTGTGAGCAGACAGGTCCGGCTGAGGAGGAGGGCGCCTCCTCGGCGGGCGGGGCCTCGCCAAGCTTCTCCCATTCCGAGTCGCTCTCCTCGGGGTTGGCTTCGCATGCTCTGAGGCCTCTTCTTGTTCTCGAGCCCGCATGGCGACGGACACGAGGACGGACCCATGGTTCGTGATAGCATCGCTGTGCCCCGTAGTTTTGATCGCATGGCCGTTTGACTCGATGGGGTCTTCGCACTGCTGTTTGACTCGGTACAGAGCTCGCTCGTGTCGAAGTTGCTTTCAGTGTCTCTGTCGATGTGCTCGGACGGGTGCTCGCTTTGGTCGGCATCGGTCGAGACGTACTCGTGAGGTCGACGATGGAGATGGTGGTGGTGATGAGTCTGCTGGGTCACCCGTCGAGGTAACCGTAGCAGCCAGGACGATGGCAGAGGCTGATGGCGGATTTTCTGCTCCCTCGGGGACGCTGGCACTTTCACCCGGCTCCGCGCTATCCGGGTGCAGTCGCTGTCCCTAGAGGAGCGGGAGGCCCCAGTGGCCGGAGCGCAGCGGTTCGAGCTTCTCCCGGTGGCCGTCCGACAGCTCCAGGTAGCCATCATGCGTCACGTTCGCCTCTGCCTCCCCCAGGTAGTCCAGGCCTAGCAGCATCGGGCTCTCCGAGGGCACGAGGGAGAACCAGAGCTTGCCTCCCTGGTCTCGTAGTCCCAGCGGGTGAGGGATCCCTCCTCTCCCGACGCTCATGCCCGTCGTGTTGTTGGCGTAGGTGGAGCGAGTCCGCTCCTTCGTGCTCATCTCCAACATGTCTTGGCCGTACGTGTCGTAGATCTGCTCCTGGGCGTACTCGAAGAAGGCCAGGCCATTCATGGACTATGTGGCCCCGCTGTCCACGATCGCTCAGCCCCGGAGGTCGGCCTCGGCCAAGAGACTGAGGCCCAGCGCAGTGTTCGGAGGGATGGCCAGGACCCACTCGTCGTCGCTCTCCCAGTAGGACACGCAGGAAACGGTGGCCTCGTCCGCGGCCTCGTCGACAGCCTCCTCGTAGCCGATGTCCATGTTCCCGTTGCCACTGCCCCCTGTCTAGTATCTGGAGGGGCAATCCACAGTTTTGTGTCCCAGCTGCCGGCAGAGGAGACACTTCATACCCGCGCCGCGGCCCTGCTGTAGTCGTCCCGGTCGATCGCGAGCTGGGCCGGCTGGGGCTCTCGGGGGGGACGGCGCACCTTTGTCGCCGCGGCCTCGGCCCTTGGGCCCCCCCCGCGCGCCCTTGCCCGCCCCCTTCCGTGCTGGAGGCAGCGCGGCCAGGCCCACGACCGAGTAGTGGCCGCGGGCCCTGGCTGGAGGATGAAAATGGGGGTCGGGCGCAGGGTCCCGGCACTGGTGTCTTTATGGGCCGTGCATGGGCGATGCATCCTCGATTGCTGTGTTCGGCGGGAGAACCACTTGAAGTTCCCCGCCTGCACCAATGCGCGAGACTTGAGGGTAGACGAAGCAAGGGGGCTGGGGGCTCGGGAAAGGCGACGAAGGCAACGTGCGCTGAGAGCGCAACAAAATGTCAAGCTGACATGCGGAACACTGTTTCTCAGTTTTGGGGATTTTGAAGGCCAGAGCAAAAGGTGAATTCACATTTTGGGGAACAGACAAATCTGAATTCACATGTTGGGAAGAAGGAAAATCATTTCGGGAAAAAAGGAAAGTGTGACTTCACATTTTAAATTTTTGTGTAGGAATCTTTATGAAGGAGCCAGAATGTGAATTCAGATTTTGGGAAGAAGGAACATATGAATTCACATTTTGGAAAAAAGGAACATGTGAATTCACATTTTGGGAAAATCGCGGACCCATTCCAAATCTGTCTTGGGGGTCGACAAGTCATCGTTTGGGGGCATACGCGATCATCGATCGCACAATCAAGACGCATTTGCACTCCACTTCGCCGCCCCACTCTCAATATGCAAGAACGCCCGGACGCATGAACGAAAATGGATGGACGGCGCGTTTGCCCGTTCGGGCAACGCGCGGGCATGAACGACTGGCCCGCCATGACCGCCAACATTGCATGCCAATCTTACCCGATCACATACATGAGCGATACATCGAGCATGCATGGGCGATTCAGCCCCCATTGAAGACCCCCTGTTGCAGGCCCCCTCTTTCACACTCCAACCTGGAAGCGTCGCAGAGCAGCTTCCTGGCCTGCTCCCAGGTGCGGTTCGCTGCATCCGCCTCCTGCGCGGCCAGGGCCTCGTGCTCCTCCAGTGCCGCAACGTCCTCCTCCTCGGCATGTGCGTACTCGTCCGGCGGCAGCTCGAGGTCGGATCCCTGCTCGTCGTTGATCTGCCCCAGGGCCTCGTCCGTGTAGTGAGCTGCACGATGATTGTTCAGCTTCGTTTTGTCTCGCACGGCCATGTCGTTCTCTGCCCACGCGTCTCGCAGGCGTCTCCTCACATTCTCAAGCTTCCAGTCTCCCTTGATAGTGCTGCTCACCACGGTTCCCTCCGTGGGATCGAGATTGTTGTTGCGCCAGAGGAGGACACCCCGCACGGCACTGGGCAAGATGTCTCCCACATCCTGCACCAGCAGTTCGTATGCCCGCTGGAGTTGATCGTAAGCTTCCACCTCCGTCTCGATCCACTGTGCCATGCTCTGTCCCAAACGCCGTGTCAGTGCACTCCGACCCGGGCCTGCGTAGAAGTACGCGTCCGTCTTCTCGCCGATGTGGGACACCACCTGAGTTCCCGGCTCCCTCCTGAACGCTTCTATCAGGTTGTTGGGGCCGTCCGCTGTGGCAATCGTCTTCGGCTCGAGTGGGGCTCCGTCCAGATCCATGCCAGATTCCCGAGGCAGTCGTAGGGCGAAGCGCTGCTGGGGAGACCCCTGTGGCAAGGCGGCCACGAGCCTGGGTCCCAGCAGTGGCCTCACCTCTTTGGAGGAGCCCAACGTGAACAGCTCCACCGCAATGGCGCAGTCATCCAACGTCTCGGCCTTCCCGTTCCATGTCGGGATGGCCATGTCCGTGCGCAGGGCGGGGCTCCGGAGGATCCAGCCATTGCGCGCCAAGCCGCGGCCCTCGGAGCCACGACTCCGCTACCAATGTCAGTGCAGATGTGATGTCAGTACTTTCTCGAAGCGCCGGTCACCGCGATGCACTGTCTTTACAGTCCTCTAGCTACGGCCGTAGCATGCTCCAAAATGGCTGCATACATAACGCTATGCACAACAGGCAAGCATAGCGAAGACGAGACAAACTCTCCATACTCTCTGCACACCTATCGTGTCTTACATGATGCACAGGCAGAGCAGGGTCAGCCGTGATTCGGTGGGACATGCCGTTCGCAACCTGTGGTGCGATCCACTCTAGAGCAACGGCGCAACCTATTGCTCAACCTAGTCAGACAGAGCGGGGCAAGCCGTGATTCGGTGGGGCATGCCGTGCGCAACCTGTAGCGCAAGCTAGACAGGGCAGGGCAAGCGGTGGTTCGTTCAGCCGTGATTTGCGCAACCTATGGCCCATGGCGCAACCTGTGGCAACCTACCGCGCAACCTGTGACGCAACCTACGGTAAAACTTTCGGGGGAAATTACGGCATCTTTTGTGATAGTTTCGGCGCAATTCGCAGCGCAGTCATTGTGGCGGCCGAAACCTGAACGAATCATGGGTCCGAATTGTGATTCGGCTCGGCGGTGCCATGCTTTGCCGTGCCGGACCGTGCGCAGTGCCGCGACGTGCCGTACCACGTCGTGCCATACTATTTGTTGTTGCAATGTTATGTATGTTATTTTTGCGGGGTGAAATCTGAAGCCGATGTGCGGCTTCCTATTTCGTTTCGGGGGAATGGGGATGGGCGTCGTCGTTCAGGGCTCCGCCTTCTCTGTCCGAGTCAGGCCTCCAGAGGGTACATCGCGTGTTCCTGTCCAGCTCCTTTGGCCACCCTCTGCCTCTCAAGCTTGGCAGATGGCCAGAAGAGCAGCACAGGCGAATGATATTCGGGTAAGGCCAGCGCAGGCGATGGATGAAGGGATAGTGCCCCTTGAAGGGCCGCTTTGTTGGAAGCTCCCTTTCGCTCCAGACAGAGAATCTCACTGTGGCCTTTGGACGTATGTCGGCGCTTCGGATTCGTTTCCGATGTTTCGGCGTGCGGTCGTTTCATGCTGTTTCCCAAGCTGTAGTATCTCCAAGTGTTCGGACTGGTCGTTAATCACACAGTCACCCTCGCAACAAGCAGTGCGCGCGACTGTGCGAATACAAATGTCGCACCAGGAAGTGTGCCGTGTGCGCTCCGCCTCTGCCGTGGCCCGCCAGGCAAGTGGGTTGGTCAGTTCATGAAGGCCCTTATGCCTCAGGTTTGTTTCATGTGGTTCTCCAGGGTGGCCAGGGTGCTGAAGGCACGGGGCAATAGTGTCTCCGTGTGCACACCTCTTTTTTGACACCATTCGTTCCATCACTTGTTTATTTTTTCATCCCAGCCCCTCCGCCTCCTTCTCCTCTCTTCTCTCCATCCACCCTTCATCAGAAGACCCTCGGCCCTGGTCGTCCTTCCCCTCCTCACCCTCCTTCGGGGGGCTGTTGGGGCCTGCTTGGGGCTCTCATCGGGTCGACTTGGGGCCCTCTTGGGCTCTCTTGTAAGCAGCCCCTCTTGGACCTCGTTGGGCTCAATGGGTGGGCCTTGTCTTGGCTTTCGGTGCTTCCATCGGGAGCCTATTTGGCCTTCCTGGAGCTTTCTTCGGGTGCTCGTAAGGCGATGCTTGGCCCCCTTGTGGGCGCTTGGCCCCCATGTGGGGACATCTATGGCACGTTCACATGGGATCGTGACCATCAGAGTGAGGATCCAACGCACGGCGGAAAGTGCCTGCGATGTCTTTTCTGATTCAAGAAACTGGGGCTTTCGGGATTCTGGTTTGGGGAGGTTGTCGTAGCATTTGTGCGGCATGGTGTGCGCGCTTAAGGTGATGCAGACGGCCCACAAGAGCGAAAAGAGGTCACCAAGATGGGTCAAGAGTGCACCTGGACAGTTTCAATATTGCTCTTGAGGCAACCCAGCTGATCCAAGAGGCCCCAGGAGGTGCCCTTGGGTCCGCCTGGCCAGGAGCATGTGACCAGTGCGTACCGACGTTGGGAAACACACCATGCATGTAAGTGACAACGTTTTGATGGCCCACAGATGAGTCGCCCACAGATGTGTCACCAGAGTTTTCGATGCTGCGTTTCTTGGGAGCTGCTTGGTTCCTCTTGAGGCATTGTTGGGCGGTCTTGGCGGCTTTGGTGGCCCTCTTCGGCTTCGGCTTACGTGGAAGCCTCGGACAGATTTTGAGAGCACGAGAGAGACTGGAGGACGGCAGCGAGGGAAGGGAGGGAATTCGTGCGGAAAGGCGGCTCTCAAAGATCCCCGAGCTGTTCGCACCCGACGTTGCTCGTACTTGTGGAATTAGGGAGAGGGGGGGAGGGAGCGAAGCAGGTGAGAGAACGAGCGAGGGGAGAGGAGGGGGGCGGAGCGAAAGGAGGGAGGGGAAGGGGAGGGTGAGGGGATGGGGAGAAGAGAGGGAGGGACTGAGAGGGGCAAGCTAGGTGCGCTCGCGTCATATCTGACGTCATACTCCTCCCTCCCATCCCTTACCATGGCGTAGATCTCGTCTCTATTCGCGCAGTCGGATTCCGAGCAGGACAGTGATCCCGAGAGGGGACGTTGCGTGGTGAGTCATAACATCAGAAAGCATTGAAGCGCAAAGTATGACATCAGAGAGCAGCAGCACAGAACACAACGCCCCAGTGCATGTCATGGCATGGCACCGGGTTCCTTGGAGGGTAAGTGGATCGTTTGGATACGGTCTGGGCTTGACAGGGCTGCCCAATCACTGGTGACCGCGCGGGTCACTGGTGATCCTCCCGCGTCCCCCCTGGCTCTCGTAAAAGTAGCGGGTCGTTGGGGATGTTCGTTTGGGCAGATATGTGGGTGTGCCGGAAGTGTGGACACGAAGGTAAAGATGAAGCGAGATCGCCTGTCTGGAAGTATAGACAAGATCCATATTCGAAGACGCACAAGGAAACACACTTAGTGCACATCATGTGTATAAGAAGTTTACGTGGAGGATGAGCGAACATGTCGAATTGGGAAAACACAGGGAAGACGACATAATTGAGTCCTGTATTGGGAAAAACATTGCGCAGAGGGGGGCGGGCTATTTTTTCATCAGCTTCGGGGGGGAGAGGAGAGAAGTGCTCATATTGTGTAATTGTAGAGGACAGGGAGGGGAGCGGAGAGTGAGGGGGGAACGAGTGAGCCGAGCGGAGGGAGGGCGGCGGAGGTTTCAGACGCTTCAGAAGATCCTGTACGTCTGGCGGTGTTTGCCGGACCCTCTGCTGAAGGTTCTGAAGGCGTGGTGGCTGCTCTTCTCGCGCGACCTCTAGAGGAAGGGGGGCGGCGACATGTGCAAAGTGGAGGAGGAGGAGGTGGAGGAGGAGGAGGAGGTGGAGGAGGAGAGGGCCACCGACGCTGAATAAATTAGGCACTTCGGACGCCCGCCCCCTGAGGACAAGGGAAGACGGAGAAGCGGAAGAAGGAGGGGGGAATAGAGGGAGTGATTGAGTATTTCACTACGCGTGAGGCTAGGATTGGAGGGAGGAGGGAAGCGATACACTGCAGCTACAATTGTTTTGACACATTTCCCAGCTCGCGGATCGTCAAGGTTGTCTCAAATATTTGTTTCCGAAGTTTCCCAGCTCCCCGCGTGGCCGCAGGCATGCCTCCTCCAAAAAATCATGTCTATTGGCCTTCTTGGGTCCATTTGGGACCCAACGACTCTTGAGTGCTCAGGGCAACTTTGGTTTCCAGCGGGAACTCCTCTCCCCTCGGAGAGCTTTTCGCGCCTGTCGCAGGAGCCGCGCCGCTTCTTCTAAATTGAGTCACTTAAATTGTGCCCCGTGTGCCCATTGAATTGAGCCCCTTCAGCTGTGCCCCTTACACTGTGTCGCAACATGGGCGTGGAAACGCGTGTCGCCCTCGCTCCCTTGCCCAGGCGGGGGATGGGGTTGCGACCCCCCCCCTCCCCAACCGACCCTGCCCCAGCGCACGTGAGAGACGCTTTTCCGACCTCTGGAACTTTCTTGCGCTGGGCAGGGGGCGTACCAGGCCAGACCCAACCACGGGGCGCCCGATGACCCAGCAGGTCCGACCCTTTTCCTCTTCCTCCTTCTCCTCCTCCTTCTCCTCCTCCTCCTCCTTCTCCTCCTCCCCCTCCTCCTCCTCATCCTCATCCTCTGTTCAGTTCCCCCCGTCTCTTCCAGTCGCGCAAGTTGCAAATTAAGAGACAGACGACTCGCAGCCGCTCCCACAGCGGCAAGATTAGGATGGCGTTGTCTTTTGCCCACGTTCTCCAGCGTATGGCAGTTCGTTCGTTCGCCTCGGGCTCAATGAGGGGATGGGGGGCAGGAGACACGCCCTCCCGTGTCCTTGCTCGCGGCCAGGCGATCCTGCCGTGGAAGCCGGACACGCTCGAGCGGCTCCCGTTCAGGAACGCCGAGAAGGCGGGGTCGTGGGGAGGGGCGGCGGGTGGACAGAGGTTGGACGCGGCGTCTGCTTGCTGTTCCGCACGCGTGATTCTGCAAGTGGTGCTCCGGCTGGCCGCTCGCTAACAGCAGGAACCTTGTTCGCTGCAGGAATCACACGAACCCGACTTCGCCTAGCTGAGTACTTCGCAGTCAGTCACTGGCGTTTCCGGTTCCCCCTGGGTGCCTGCCCGTGGAGCGCCTCGAGGGCGCCCGGTGCGGTGGCCAGTGTTTCAGGCTTTCTGGGTGGCCACGTGCCCCTGGGCGCCTCGTGGGCGCCTCGTGCGACAACTGGCGTTTCCAGTTTTTGTGCTGGTGCCCGCTCGTGGGCGCCTCGTGGGCACCTCGTGGGCGCCTCTTGCGCAGATGCGCAGATGCGCACGTTGACTTAACGGTCCCCCTTCCGCGTTTTGTTGTGTGCTGCATCTTCGTTCACTGCGAGCCTCAAGTAGCAGAACTCCAGCCAGTAC